CCGATTTCGTCATCATCAAAGATATCTGGTTGTTGTTGAGCCTCACATTGAACAGGAATTTCGTTATCATCCAAGATAATTGGTTGTTTTTCAGCCTCACATTGAACAGGTATTTCTTCATCATCCAAGATAACTGGCTGTTGTTGAGCCTCGCTTTGAACAGGCATTTCATTATCATCCACGATAACTGGTTGTTGTTGAGACTCACATTGAACAAGCATTTTGTCATCATCAAAGATATCTGGCTGTTGTTGAGCCTCGCATTGAACAGGCATTTCGTTATCATCTAAGATAATTGGTTGTTGTTGCGCTTCACATTGAACAGGCATTTTGTCATTAACCAAGATAACTGGTTGTTGGTGGGCCTCACATTGAACAGGAATTTCGTTATCATCCAAGATAACTGGTTGTTGTAGGGCCTCATATTGAACAGGCATTTCGTTATCATCCAAGATAACTGGTTGATGTTGGGCCTCACATTGAACAGGTATTTTGTTATCATCCACAGTGACTGGGTCTTGTTGGTCCAAATTTTGGGGTTTTTTTTGTTCTTTTGTCCTTTTGTTCTTTTTTTTTTTTTTTTCTTCATCTTGGACCTTTTCTTAAAGTTATTGTGTTCATCATTTACAGTTGCGCCTAGACGTCCAGAGTTTTGATCCGTGTTACTAACACTTGGGCCAGGATTTTCTCTTTCATTTTGTAAAACTTCATTTTTGTCTGCCACACTGCAAGGGAAAGACATTGATGTTGTTTTTAATTCACCTGAACTCGCTTGCATCCTCTTTCCCTCTCCTACCTTTTCTTTCACATCCTTTTTCCAACTCAACCCTCTCCTCCCATATCTTTCTTGTTTTAACTTTTCTCCTCATCTCACCCCTCCCTTCCATTTCCCTTTCTCCTCTTACCTGCCCTCCCATTTATTACCTCTCATCTTCTCCGCCACCCCTGGTGTAAATCGTTGAGACCAAAATGCATAATTTTACCGTGTGAATTTTTGCATTTTTGTTTCAATTAATGCATTCGCTTGTTGCGTCAGTTAAAGGGTTCTTTTTTAAAGCATTCAGTAAATTGAAAAAACTTTTCTCTCTTTCTACAACACTGAACGTAAACAAAGAAGAGACGAATATTTAAAGCTCAGATTTGCAATTTTCCTACTTGCGTTTTTTTTTTAAAGAGATTTCAATTTGTTTCAATTTTGGTTTCTGTTCAAAATGTATTTCTTCGTATGCAAAATACCAACCATTGTGATAGACCTGGAATCTCAAGTTATTTTATGGAGATTCTTTTGGCCCGCGATCGGCCCGCTCGAAAAGAAGGAAATGCATGTTGCACGTGTTTTTTTTCCGTCGCAACATCATGACATTTTTTACCAGTTTCGAGCCTTACCTTTCTTCTCTTTTACAGTAACCGAAAAATATAAGTGCATGTAATGCCTCTATAAAAGTGCGCCAAAATGTTACCATCGGCATTTTGACGCTAACTTTCCTCACGGAAAAATGGATCTTCTCTGATTAAACGTCACAATCAAATTCTTTTCATAAGCGCGCATTCGAACTAATTTGCGCCAGCGATGACAATAAGTCGGAGATAACGGAAATTTTGGGCTTGCGCAACCACAATTGTATAGTGTGAGTCAGAATTTTTGTTTTCAACGCCGTTTTTTTCATACAAGTCTTCAACCGGTGTTAAGGGCTTGAAGCTCCACTATTATTAATACTTATTGTTTTCTTTTCCAGGCCCCCACCTGGTGCACGACCATGTTTTATCAGCGGTTGGTTTCTGTGGAAACTACCAGATTTTGCGAAATCCATGGTAACGGGTCAAAATAAACGGGAAAAAAGCGATTTGAGGTCGCCAAAAGTGCGGGGCATTTGACCTGCGTCAGTCAGCTCGCCGAATGAGCCATCCTTAGATCCCCTCATGCTGAGACAAAAATAGTCGACGATCTGAGTTTCTATGAGGCAAAAAAGCACGATTGTATGATTTTAGAAGAGTTATCACTTATCTTTAGCGGACTGAACTCGCTAAATTGCAATTATTTTTAGCGTGGATATTGTATTTCGTTGAATAACGTGAAAATTCAAATAAATGCAAATAAAGTTGTTCTACATTTGAAAAGAACAACTTCAGATTAAGAGGTATAACACTTTTTTACCGATGAGCAAAAAAGCTTAATTATGTATGTCTCGTTAGTTCCTTTTCTGTTGACGACTTGCCTACTTGCCTAAAGACACGAGTTAGTCAAAGAAAAAGAACATGGCGAGCTAGAAATTCCCTCCCTGATGGTCCTATAAGTTCATGCGAATGGAGACGATTGCTGACAGAACTCGCTCCCTTTCCGTTCTGTATTTCTATATCTTTCTTGGTAGGGCACTGAGGAATTAAAAAATAAAAAATGACAACAAGACGAACAAGATAGTCTTCACAATGACGTGAGCGTCTACAAGTTAAATGGCTTTTATTTCCCTTCAATGAAAGTACACCACCAGGTGAAGCTGGCGCGAATTTACAAAATTTCGCCACTTGATTTCTAAACACAGACGAAAGAAAAGTCGACAAAGCTGTTGACATTAATTTTACAATTGCTTAATTAACTATGACAGTGCGTTGGGCTTGAAGTACATTTCGGAACTCCCAGAACTATCTTCATCCGTTCACAGAAGCTTCTCTTGAAAGAAACAGGCGATTAAAAATTTCCGAACAATCACATTCGTGTGCGGCTAAGGTATCCTTCATGTAGGATGCCAAACTTTGTTATTGTTTATTCTCAGTAATGACACAAATTTCCTATCTTTTCTTCACCAACGCTGCAAGAAAACGGCGGGAGCATTGTTTTGGTATCTCAATTGTAATTGGCTGCTTTCGTCATGCGATCATTTGATTCTCACTTTTCATTGGTTTATTTCGGCGAGCTTAAAATCCTTCACTTCGCTTTACAAAGTTGTTAAAAACTTGGCTATGAATCCCATGCATAGTGGAAATTGCATCGATTTTGTCTTCTTCTATAAATCCTGCTACGGTTTCAACGAAAACGAATACCAATTAAGGAAAGAAATCTTGAATTTTCAAAGCAAGTGATGACGGACATATTCAAAGTAAGTGATGACGTTTCAGTTTGGTCGCAAATCTTTTGTTTGTTTGAGTAGCACGTTAGTCTATGTAGAGAATAGTGTTGATGACCAAAATTACTGAAATTTAGTACATGTAACTGGTTTATTTCTATCTTTGTTGAATTTCATGTCGATGTACAAACAGGTGTCTTCCGTTTCAGTTTGGTCGCAAATCTTTCATCTAGTTTCCTTAACGAAACTGAAAAAAATTGTGCTGCATGGGCAATCTTTGATCGGTGGATCTGAGGAGAAATTTGTTAAATTCTCAGCTTTTTCGTAAGCGGCAAAAGTGAAAGTAGCCGAGTTTTTGATGTTTTGACAATATTTTTGCTCGTTTTTATATTCAAGTTCTTGGGTTGCGAGTTTTCAAAATACATACAGGAAATCCGGGTTTGAGGCCACGCAAAGTAGCTGGGTCAATGCATCGACCGATTGCTGAATATTGGCCGAATTCTTTTTTTTCAATTTTAGAACGAGACTAATATCCAGCCATCTTGACCGAACAAACTTGGTCAACAAAGGATTTCTTAGCATTAATATTTCACTTTAAAGGATTTTTAGGATCAAGTATGAGTTGTTACCTTCGAGAGCCGGAAAAGAAAGCCAACCGTTGTAGCACAATAAACCCATGCACGTGCACGGGAGTTGTTTATGTTTTCTTATAGCGACTCCATTGCTAATATTGTCCAAAAATTACGAACTTTCCAAATCTGCTCCACCTTTTGAAGACACCCGTCTACAATCTTAAGTCTTATGGTGATTGATAGTTTGCCTTGGCTTCAGCAGTGTTGTAGAACTCCCTTCCACAGTCATAAAGAGACTTGCAATCAGTCGAAACTTTTAAGCGGAAACTTAAGGAACATTTGTTTTTTTACGGGCTTACATGGAACATTTCATCGTTATTGTACTTGCTATAGATGATATTTTAAACTAGACATAGTTAGGTAATTTTTAGTTTTCAATTATAATTTTTCCTTATGTGGAGTATTTCTGGACCACTGGGAAAAGATGCTATATAAATGTATTTATCATTATAGCAGTGTATACTTATGTATGCTAAACGTAACCTAAAGGCCAACGGGAAATACGAAAATTAAAATTAAAAAACTTCTTGTAGAAGCTAATACATTATTATTATCACAGTATACACTTTTGAATGCTTCAGATTACAAATAAAATTGATATAGGGCGCCAAAGGCGTAGCCTATTCCATTGTCACTACTACATAGATAAAAGCTAAACTTTAAAAAAATTGTGTGCCCCTAGACCCTAAGGAAATAAATATTCCATCAACCTATCAAAACTATGCTTGAACCTAGCGTGGTTTAAGGAAGTTAGTCCGATAGGACCTTAAAATTCCAGAAACAAATAAACCTAAGAGTTCTAAAATGGTATACCCATAGACCCTAAAATGGAGATAAATGTTTAAAACCTATACTTAAAACTAACGTCGTTGGAAGAACTTAGTCCGATAAGACCTTGAAAGTCCCGGCACAATTAAGGGAGCTAGAGACTACAGCTTTCTGTATGTTCCTTAGCACTGATTGACATCGGCCACTTCCAACTAGATGGTGTATGCTTTCCTTGACCCTTCGCAAGCTTCCTCCAAGTGTGTCTATTTAACAGTTATTCCACGAGTGCGCGTTGGATATGAGATGATAGATAGCCAACGAGGCGTGTAGCGCTGAGTTGGCTATAATCATCTCATATCCAACAAGCCTGAGTGGAAAAATTGTTTTATTAAAAACGTCAAATTAAATTATTAAATTTCATTAAATTTTAAGCTCCCTTTTAATTTTAAGCTGACACGTACGCTTCCCATATTTGTAGATTATGGTATATTGGCTGATATACCACAATGGCTGAGCAAATTAAAAAGTCTTGAATTGCATTATCCAATGATCTAGTTTTTAATAATATGATGTTATGCTGCTCAATCTAGTACGCTGGGTATCTCCTTAATAGCACTTATGGGCGATGACGTCAAAACAATTCTCGCAGCGTCAAACCGAGGCTTGGTGGTGATCGCTTAGCGTGTCTTGTTGGTGTTTAGAGAAAGAATCAATTCCCCTTGTCTGTATTTTTCACTTTTTGTTCGAAATGCCTCAGTGGTGTATTGCCTAGGGCTCTACAAACTCTTCAGACATGAAAATAAAAAAGTCCTGGCATCGCTTACCGCAGGAGAACAAAGAACTGCTTTCGAAATGACTATGTGGCGACCACTTTGAAGCCGACTGTTTTGGGAAAATCCCGGGTTCCTTGCTTGTCAACTTGGAACCAGGTCTATTCCCACAAATTTTTGCTTTGTGCAAGAAAAAAACACCGAGGAAACCTCCATCAGAGCGAAAATCGGTTGAACGAAAGCAGCCGAGTTCGTACGTAAAGACAGCGTCGGACGATCTACCAGAAACATGTGATGGCTTTGAAAGTGACAACATTGGTGGTGATGGTTTCGCGGGAATATCAGAGAAAAATATATGTCATATCGGACATGGCTGAAGGAAATTCGCCTAAAATCACTCTTTCTGAGGATGATATCGACGGAGCTTCCTTAAGAGTAAACACCCCTAGTCAACTGACTATTTCTGCGTTAAAGAGATGGCTTTCCTGCGGGAAAGGAGCGAAATTGAGCGGAACGAAGCGATCCTTGGTCGAAAGGTAAATACACGTGAATAGCTTATTTCCCGGGCATACCGGTATTTTACGTTGGATGATCAAACTAAAAGAAATCAACTGTCCCTTTCAGAGTTCAAAGTTACATAAATAGGGCTCTCGATAACCTTATTGATCCAGACAGTGCTGCCGCTTTCAAAGCCATCACATGTTTCTGGCAAATCGTCCGACGCTGTGTTTACGTACCAAGTCGGCTGCCTTCGTTTGACTGATTTTCGCTCTGATGTAGTGTAATATAATGTAATCTTTATTTAACACGATCAATTCATCAGCCCATAAAAATGCGTATCACATACGCTAAGATATTAAAAATTCAAACTACATACTATAACACTGGATGGAGGTTTCCTAGGTGGTTTTTCTAGCACAAAGCAAAAATTTGTGGGAATTGACCCTGGTTTCAAGTTGACAAGCAAGGAACCCGGGATTTTCCTAAAACAGTCGGCTTCAAAGTGGTCGCCACGTAGCCTCGAGTGCTCATTAACTGGCGTGTTTGTTCGCCGAATTTTTGCAAGCCATTTCGAAAGCAGTTCTTTGTTCTCCTGCGGAACCCAGGATTTTCCCAAAACAGTCGGCTTCAAAGTGGTCGCCACATAGCCTCGAGCGCTCATTAACTGGCGTGTTTGTTCGCCGAATTTTTGCACGCCATTTCGAAAGCAGTTCTTTGTTCTCCTGCGGAAAGCGATGCAAGGACTTTTTGATTTTCATGTCTGAAGAGGTTGTACAGCCCTAAGCATTACACCATAGAGGCATGTTGAACAAAGAGTGAAAAAACAGACGAGGGGAATTGATTACTTCTCTAAACACCAACAAATCGCGCGAAGCGATCACCACCAAGCCTCGGTTTGACGCTGCGAGAAATTGTTTTGACGTCATCGCGCATAATTCCTATTCGACCGCAGCGGGGCGTACTTGTTCGTCTTCTCTGCACATTAACGTACTTGTTCGTCTTCTCTGCACATTTCGTCTTCTCTGCCCATTAATAATAATAATAATATTTTTTAAATAATAATCTTTATTGACATGTAGCAATAATTTCCATAAAATCCTCTACAATACAAAATATTAACAGCGTAAAAAACGATCCAAAATAACTCACTTTCGGCTCACATCTACTCCTTTTCTTTAATGTCAAAGCGTCTGGAAAACTATAAATAACGGAGTCAAATCTGAACAGATTCAAAGTCTAATAATCTGATAAGTAAAAGCATATCTAAAACTATACAGAAAAGAGAAAGGTGAATGGCAAATCTAGAACCCTATATACAAGGCTGCTAAAAATCATTAAACAATGTCAATGGCTCCCTCGGCAGCTGCGATTTCAACGTCACAATTATTATAGTCATGCACAGCGCGGCGCTTCACCCGCGATCCTCGAAGGCAAACTAAGGCTGACCGAAGGAGGGCAAAGGATGTCTTTGCTCGGATCCAGGAAATTTTTTGCGAGAATGGTTCCCCTTTCTTGGTGGCTATCAGCTCGGCCAATCGGCTGTGGTATCTTATGCATTCCATCCCCATACCTCCCGTAGTTGTAAATTCAAGCGGCGTGAACGAGCCATGCTCAACATCCAACGCTCTCCTTGAGTACAGCCGCTTCTTGTCGTTTTCATGGATGCGATAAATCTGCTGTGGTTCCTGGTCCTTGTAAGACTCGGCATTAGGGTGGCAAACCCTCACATCGAAGAATGCCGAGCTCTCGGGATCCCAGAAGCCAAGCGCCCGAACGTCTAATCTTGCGTCTTGTGCTCTATTAGACCCACTGCTGAGTTGTTCTTCAGTGACGCCTAGGAGAACTGGCTCGACCTCGACATCGGTACACACTATACTCAAAAGGTCGGCCTCGAGGTCTCTCAACTCATTATGCCGTTGGATAACAAAGCCCCCTCGTTTGCAAATCATTGCGTGGTCTACTGTGAAGTTTTCCCCGCACGCACACACTGATGAAATGTCATCGAACGGCCAATCATAGCGTCATTTAACAGCATCGCGAAACTCTCTCTTGCTGAGGTTGAAACCATGTTCTTGTTCAGTTTTTTTCAGGTGTTACTTAAAAACCCTTATTGCTTCCAGCTACGCAAAATGTACCGTGAACCTATGAAATGACGCGCGTGATAAGTGCCAGTACAGGCATAGATGGGGTAGGTTTGGCTCATCATAACTTTCAAACAAGTACGGTGCCCTATCTTTTTTATTGTATTTTTCGAAACAGACATTAGTGGGGAACATTTAAGGAAAGTTTAAAAAATATTGTTCGATGACTTTTCTTTCTGGGGAATCACCTTAACTCGCCCTTATAAGACGTCCGCACTGCAGGCTAGATATCGTCCGTGGCACATATTGAGGCAGCCATTTTGAATTCTTGTTAACCATTTCAAACCACGTGACCACCTATGCTGTGCTTACACACTTTCACGAAATGTTTAAAATTTGCTTTGTTAAAGAGCGTTTACTATGGTAAGGAGTTAAAATAAATTGAAAACTCAAGGTCTTTAAAAAAGAGAACTTTGATAGACCGTTTCTTTTTCTGTTACTTTCAGCTTGGTGGACAGAAAAACAAATTCAAACTCCGCTTGAAGCAATGAAATTCGGTTGGGTAGATAAAAATCTACGAAGGTTTTATGCAAAAGCCAGAACGAAAAAGGGCGAAGATTACGGTAAATCTAACCTTACTGGGATTCTACCACTCAAGAGAAAGATACCTCAATGCCCCTCCTTTAAACAGAGGCCTAAAAATTTCCACTGATCTGAGATTTTCAAGATAAAACTTGATGCTAGATGCACAAATGAAAACCTTTAAAGAGAAGCGGCAAAGAAAATGTTTCACACAAACCTGCTATCGAGGAGGAAGACCTTCACTGAAGCTGAAATCCTGCGATGTTTTTTTCCTTGGCTCAACCACTTTCACTACTGAGAAACGTTTGGTTGCATGTTGTCCTTTTCTATTCCGAAGGGGCCGTGAAGGTCAAAGAAGCTTGAGCTTCCAGTTTGAAATGGATGCGGCTGGACGAAGGTACGCAACGAATTATAAGCCACGATGAAATATCAAAGAATCGTCCAGGACGATTGAACGATGTAGAAAATCAAGAATACATGTAACCCAAGATCAAGGTGACGGTAACAAGGCGCTGAAGCTATACTTGCAGAAAGTCAATCGAAAGTGCACTACCTTTTTCCAGTATCCGAAGAAATACAGCACAGCCAAAGATGCAGTTTGGTTCTAAGCACGACCGTTCAGTTGGAATACACAGCCTCGCTAATATGATGAAAAATATCAGTGAAGAAGCGCATTTGTCCAAAATGTACACAAACCATTGTGTAAGAGCAACTGCCATCAATATCTGGTCCAACGCTGGGATTTCAAACCACCGTTTCACGGTCATTTCAGGACACCGCAGTGGGCAGTCTCTGGTGAGCTACAACTCCCGTACGTCGACATCACAACTGCAGCCAAGTCTTGTCGAGACCCTTTCTTCCTCCACCAACAACCACATCCAGCTATCAGAAGTTTCAGTCAATGTCGTTCCCGACAAAACAAGTAGCAACGAGACTGCATTATTCGGTCCATTTTTAAATGACATTAAAGGACCAATTTTTACTTTTGTCTGATTGAACAATTGCACTGACTGTTTAAAGATACAAAGCTCTCATGATCAGAAAGAGCTTTTTTTCATGAATTTCAGTAAATGTGATTAGACTTGCCTCAATTGACTTGACGTGTGAACCCGTGCTGCAAGTTGTGCAATGCCTAGTTTTCGCGCGCTTGTTTTGTCAGGAGATGTAAGACTACACGAACATTTTTGGTTCAATAAAAGGGAACTCTTTTGCTACAATGCATCGATGTTATGTTAAAAAAAAAAACTACAGCGTACACTATTGAGTTATCGTACACTTGGGAGGGTTGCTAGGCCGGCTCAAGAGGCTAGAGTCACTCTCGGTTATCGCCTCGCGCGACTCTTGCGCTTTTTTCATGCTTAGCAAACCTCCCAAGTGTACCAAACGGGTCCGTGAAGTTCCTGGGCTCTTTGAGAAACGGGCCCTAGCCCTGCTGAAGATTTCTTGTCACTTAGTACATAGTAATTTCCTCCACGAGAATCTCTTGGGAAGTGATATCAGTCCAAGTGTCTCCCGGTAAACTTTCAATTTCAACGTCGACCTCTAACCCCTGGAGATTTCTTGTCACTTGGTACAGAGTAATTTCCTCCATGGGAATTCTCTTGGGAGCTGATATGTGTCCAAGAACATTCCGGTACATTTCATCATCTGAAGCGACCTCCAGCCACTGGAGATTTCTTGTCACTTGCCACATAGTAATTTTCTCCACGGGAATCTCTTGGGAGGTCATATCAGCCTGAGTTTCTTCCGGTATATTTTAACCTTCAGCGGTGACCTTTAGCCTCTGAAGATTTCTTTTCACTTGGTACAGAGTAAATTCCTCCGTAGGAATCTGTTGGGAAGTGATATCACTTCAAGTGCCTTCCGTTGCATTTTACCTTCTGGAGCGACCTTCGGCCACTGGAGATTTCTTGTCACATGGTGCATAGTAATTTCCTCCAAACGTGTTCACTCGTTCGTTATTTTTTTGCATCGCAACTCGTGAATGAAAATCGTTCGTGTGCACTTTCCACAGCATAATCTCTAAGTCACAAAAGAACCTGTAATATTTTGAATGTATCTAGGACGTTTGCTTAGCGAATCGTACGAATTCCACTCAGCTAAATCCACCCATTCACAAAATTGAATACAATAACCATAGCAATAACCCTTTACCTCACAAAACTGGGGAATTTCCAAAACAGAGGAATTTTTTATTTAGATAATGTATCTGATTTTTGTTTCACAGATTGTAATGGTTATGATTAATTGGTAACTGGAATTTTACGTCCAATTCATAATGGTAATTGAACTGAGTGGAGTGCAATTTGGGCTGAAATCATACGCGTGATTTCAATATCGAACGAGCGCGCAGCTCGAGTTCGATTTGAAATCACAAGAATGATTTCAGACCAAAATTGTACGACAATTCCATTAAGCTAACCGCCTCCTGGTTAGCTCAATGGACAGAGCGCTGGACTGATGTGCGGGAGGTCGAGGGTTCGAGTCCCGGCCGGACCAACACTCAAGGTCTTAAAATAATTGAGAAGAATATGCTGCCTTTCTATAACAACAAGAAATGGTTTAGAAATTCTAGTCTTCTCGGATAGGGACGAATAAATGGAGGTTCCGTCTCCTGCAGGGTTAAGGGTAGGAGACGTTAGTTTCCCACGCACGAGATTACTGTGTGTGGAATGTCCTCCCCTGGGGTGGGATAGGTGGGTTGTTGTCTTGCGTTTCATACATGAGCATCTGGCTCGGGCAATATGCATAGTAACCATCCCCACATTTAGACATTAAACTTTGATTACTACTTCACGAGGTACAATTACCACTTTATTACATCCATTTTGAAATCGCCCAAATACAGGATTTGGTCAATTCAAATATTTTACTGATGCATTACTGTGCCGGTTTTTAAATAAAAAGCGGAACTGGAAACGTTTTTACATCTTATTTTGTATGCAAAACAGAAAGACTTTGACGTCATGTGTCAAAAACTCAGTCAAGCGTAAAATGATGCGATTTAGAGCAAACAATCGTGCGATTTGTGAATTTATTACATCTATTTTGAAATCACTGGTGGTCCCTGTAATCTGATTGGCTCTAATTGGTGCGAAAAGATTCAAAGAAAAACAATATAAGCGTGAATTGTTGTGATCGCCCGCGCTACCTTTTGCAATGGACTAAGAGCGCGCTTGCAGCTCCCCAGAGTTATGGAGGCTCGTTTCTCCGCTTGGATTTATGGTCGCAAAAAAAAAAAAAAAATACACGGTTCATTACTTACAGAGCGGACCTTGAACTTGCTCGTTTATTGGGAAGTATATGTGCAATTAGAAATTAGCCCTCGCACATTCGCACTTCGATCGTTTTCCAATATTGCCACTGAAAATGTTTTCCATGTTCTCCGAAATTTTATAGTAGAAGGGGGTCTATGATGATCGCGAAACAGCACTTCTCCCTTTATGATGGCCAGTTTTAAAAGAAATCGAGGCGGAAGGCAGTCTAAAGGTTATGTTTGACTTAACAACAACCAAAGATCGTCTAAAACAGTTCTTGGAAGAATTTGTATTTTTTTTTTATTAAACTAAATCTTCAAAAAGTGTATTTCGTACGTATTTTCCGTTTATGTATGAAAAGTTTTACAACACTGAGTATTCCTTATTTCACACATTTGTTCTTGTGTATATCCAAATAAACTTTACAAAAGTTTGTGCTTTTTCGACCCTTTCTTAACTACAGTGGTGATGTTTTGCATATAAATAGTGCCAGCAAGAAAACGGCTTCAGGCGAAAAGTTGTCCACAGCGTTAATACAATCGCTTATCGCTAGCAGAATGCTTCCTAAACCTTCTAAGGCTAAGTGTTTACCAATTATTGTAGAAGGCTAGGGGACTTTTGATTACTTTGTAGGCATGAACCCACCCTTTATTATGAATCGGTATTCAACTATCTTTTAAACAAATTGAATAGAAAATATTATACCATACCAAAGGAATCCCAAAGTGGATCTCAAATTTTATATAAAAATAGCCAACATACTTCAAATGCATGCACCCACGATTAATAATTAACAGTTATAAACCGAACTGATGGAGCATGGTGGTGGATATCTACCAAGCCACTCAATAAATGAGGTGAATAATTGTTTTGGTGTACGCCACACAGAAACCCAAAAGTTAGTTTACTTCTGTCAACATACTAAACGATTGTTAGAAATTATTATTGATATGTAATTTTTGTCTCTTCAGCAGCTTGTACTTGCTACTCACTTCCAAATCGGCCAATCAGCGCACACGAAAAACCCTATTCACGTGTGTGGCATATACTAATTATAAATAATAAGCTATCAAAAGTGCACTGAATATCAGGGTACCTATCTAAGCAAAGAGTAGGAATATCAGCAAGGTTCGACACTAACGGTAGCCAACTAGCCACAGACAAGTAGAAATTCAGTTTTGGCTAGTGGTTTTCGGTTTCCACTAGCCAGTTTGGCTAGCAAAAAAAACTGAAATTGTTGTAACATCTAAGTTGTCATTAGCCACTTGGGTAGTAAGTTCAAAAGTTAGTGTCGAGCCCAATTGTTACTAGATTTTTGGCTGACTTGGAGGTACTGCCAGCAGTACTAGAAAATTTGAAAAACACCCGCTGGAGTAACGATCATGGCGCAAACATTTAGGCCAATCAGGAAGCGCGACGGAAGTGGAGTTTCACTTCCGTTGCAAACACGCACACGTGAAAACTTCGCACTTGTCAAAATGTCAAAAATTTGATAAAATTTGTGTTGACATGTCGCCAAACGAAAATTGTCGGTTTTGCGGCTGTAGTTTTAAAGCTAAATACGGCTCATACTTCATCAGAAAATTTAGTCCGAGCATCGAAGAGAAGTGATGGAGTAATTTTATCAGACGTATGTGCTCGAATTGGCATCAAACTCATTCAAAACAAGGAACAGTTCTCCGAGCGCTATTGCAATCCTTGTGCAAGGAAAGTCAGAACCTTGGGACAGCTACATGCATTCATCCTTGAGAACGCAAATGGCCAATGCAAAACAGAAAAGCCCAAAAGTGCAAAGAGGGGCAATTTGATACGCCAAACAAATGTAGCCAGGTATGGAGTAAGAAGAAAGCCGCTCGTATACACTCGCCCAAACTACCAGCACCGAAATCCAGAAAACCCCTGAATATGAGCGAGAATCTCGACCCAGCTTCATCGAAGACAAACAAACCGAGGAAAGATGACGATTTGGACACTTTTTTAAACGTAGATGATCTTCCAGAGGATGGATTACCAGTTAAAGTCGTGACAAGAATGGCCAATGGCCAGGTAATAGTTAGAATTCCACGTGAGGAAGAAACTGAAAAACTGGTGAAACACATCGCTTTTACAAACGGGAGAACTGCTGTGAGATGTCTTTTCCGCCATGAAGAAATCTTGCTGTTCATTTTTTAAAACAAAGTTTTCTAAGGCATCAAAAGAAGCTAAAGAATCGTTCAACGCAAGATCTACCTCTTCTACGCTGAACGCCATATTGGATGTGATCCGAGGCAAAAAAAAAAAAAAGAAAAAAAATGGCAAACGTAAAATGACGTCACATCCTGCTGTCAATAAAATATTCCTCTGGACCAATCGTCAGCGAACGGGTTTTTCAAATTTTCTCCTCTCCCCCTCCCCCTACCTCCTAATTTTTCGCCTCGCTCTATTTTTCGCGCGGTCTAACTTTCGCCCAAACTCCACTAGAACGCCTGCTCTGCAGGCTAATGTCCTCTGAGAGTTATTTTCTATCAAATAAATAGATTTGTGTATTAAATATCATCTTCAAATTCTTCGGGTATAGCACTCAATAAACGAGAATACCGTGCTGTCCTTTTATTCGAAGGCGTTCTTGGTTTCCATCGAAGGCCTCTTGATTTCATGAATTTGAAGTTTGTGTTACTGTTATAATCATCAAGTGTCCACCAATGATCTCTGTTTTGCCACGGCCTGGTGTAAAGTAATACGCCACCAAGGACCAGACACAAAAATATTACACTTCCAAGCGCCCATGCTGCATTTGATGTATCAAATTTGTGGTTACTTGGCACCCTTATCACCAACTCTTCTGTGTTTTGTATTGTGATAGAGTGCATCTCATTTTCTTGAGATGCATATTGCTCTCTGCCTTTTGTGGATTGACTCTCTCCTTCATCGGAGTTGATCATTGACTGAAAAAACAAAATTAGCACGAAGCAATTTTTTTTTTCATAATTCCAGTCATCCTGGAAAACTCTAAATATACAGCTCAAGACCCTCAAGTTAAAAATCTCTCCATAAAAGTGAACTCGTTTACATTGCTACTTTGAGTATGAATGTAAGAGGAGGGCTTAACTCTTTGAACCCAAAGAGTGACTAGCAGCTAAATTCTCCTAACAATATATATATATAT